CACACACACACACACACACACACTCTTACTCTTGTGCACTTCCTCTCTTTTCTCCCCCTCTGTTTTATTATCATATGCTGATAGCAGAGTGAGACTGCATTGCAGGTTTTAATCAGTGGAGAGATACGCTGTCACACTACACAAGCTTTTTCGGGCAAACTACAACACACTGTAATTGCTGTTCAACTTACAGAGATGTGCATGTGATTGTGTTCCTTTTCGGCTTCATAAAACTTTAGATGTCATGATATTTTTAGTAAGTCTTAATCAGTGGTAGAGTAAACGTGTTTGTGTGTGGGTGCATATGTGTGCATGTATGTTTTTACAGAAATAAGGTCAGTGTCCACACTGTAAAATCACCATTAATAACCTGATATTTTTGCCAAAGAACTATGGTTGAAAATGCTCAACACTTTATGAAATAGATCACAACCATTTTACACTTGTATCACTTCACACACACATTCAACAAGGATCACTCATGCTCCCTGCATTCTCTGGGTTTCCCCATTAAAAACAAAGACACTAACACCAATTCATTAGTGGACAGGATGTGAGCTGTCATCAAATTCTTTCATTGTTTCCAGTGAAGTCATTTTAATTTGCTCTATACATTAGCAAACAGGCATAAGTGATGCTTGTCTAAAAATGTTTTCTTGTTCTGCACACTCTGCCCATTTTAGATTTAACTCTGATTTCGAAAACCCTACTAGCAGCTAAGTACAAGCTAGATTGTAAGACAAGTTCTGACAGTAACTGCAAGCTAGTCAATGAGCGTGTCTCAATTCGAGGGTTGCGTTCTTCTGATGCTGCATTTGAAGACTGATTGCATCAAAGAATCCCAGGATTCACTGGGCTAAGGTGATACATCGTTCTTTCAAAGCTGGGGCCTCAAGCAACACGATACCAATACTTGAGTTTCATTCTTAAAGATCTGCGTAGACTGCGTCCTCTGAGGGAGGTCATCCCTGAGTTGGAACACAACTAGAATCAGACACAAGCGGAGCAAAAAAACAACAAATCAATGTCATCAGTCAACTCCAACATCAGACAATGAGATAACAGCATTGTCCATGTTTGTTGTCCAAGGCTTTATTAGGACTAACCTGTGAGTTTTGCAAATGTAACGCTATCTTACATAATGTTGGAGTATCCAGAATCAGCTTCCACATTGTGGGGAAATACTACATAGTGGATGTGATATTCATTTTCATCAATTTCCTACCAGAGGAAACGAAAGAAGCCCTCTAAATTCTTTAACTCTGGCCATCACTGTATGTATCACTTTAACACTATACATACAACTTTGTATTGACAAGAAATGCAATGCTAGACAGGCCTGCTGGGTTTAGTTATTTAATAAACAATGAAAGAACATTTGCTATTTGGGCCATAAAATCTCAGCGTACAAATACATGAGCCATTAATGTTTATCCTGCCGTCTAACTGATAGGGAAATTGAGATTGAAGGCATGAGTGGAAAACCGAAGTGGATCTTTTTAATGAAAAGGGAAAAAAAGAGTTGAGAATGGATAAAGATGTACAAAGAAGTGGGCAGATACGTTCGTGCAGTATGGATATATTTCATTCAGCGGATTCACAGAGACCCATTCAATTCATCTGCATCTCACAGTGTCGGCCGACAGTCTTGTCCCTCTTTCTCTCTTTCCCTCTTTCCCTCCTCTCCCTCCTCTTCCTGACCTCCTGCCCTCCTGTTCTTTGTACAACACCACAGAGGATATGTTGATTTTAATCACCAGGCATAATTAATTGCCATCCTTCCTTGTTAAGAAAATAAAAGCCTCACAGCCACATAGTAATTGGCAGCAATATCATCTGTGGTCTAATGTCGCTGGGTTTGGATGACTGTGTGTGTTTCTGCGACTGAGTGTGTGAGAGAGGATATGCTGGAATGTATTTGTATGTGAGACGATTGTGTTTGTCTATATTTGCTATTTGTAAAGTGTCTTGCGGTGAGAACATGCGGTCAGAATATTATCAGGGAATCCCAAGGCCTTGCATACCCTTTAATTTTGCAAGATGATGAATAAATGTGGCTGTAAAACCTATAAAATGCTTCAATGGCAACAAAGTGTTCAGTATTCAACGTTCATAACGTGGTGCTGCAATAACAATGATGAACAGGCTTTGGGTTGCAGTTTACAGTCAGTGATGGATTTGAGAGCTTTAGATTGCAGTCAGGGCTTTTTACAGGTAGTTAAGATTCCATTTCTGTTTCCTAAATGACCTCCATTTCCAGAGGGTCCTGAGCTTCACTTTTACTCATTTATTGCGCCAACCCCCATCATAAGCTGCTTCACTAGGACACATTACCCTGTGCTCTTATGCATAAATTATTGTGTTACCGTCTCAAAACCGAAGACTATGTTTAAAGATGGATGATGTTTTTCCAATTGCTTGTGTCTTAGACATACATGAAGCCAAAATATCCTGGATACGGGTGCTGCCATCTGGTGAATTTGATTTATTTTGGAGCCAGTCTTCGAAGTATTGAAGCTGCAGTATGGAGGTCCCTGCGATGCACACTCTCAACCTATCTTGAGGCAATCTCAGCTGTCAATCATGATGTTTCATCCTTTTTATCAATATCAAATCACTAGAATGCCACTCAGTCAAGCTAGTTACAGCTTTATGGTCATATTTGTTAACTGACTGCGGAGGCTGCCATGTTTTTTACAGTAGCCCAAACTGGACAAACTAAACACATTTTGAGTTTTTATCACAACTGAAGGCCGCCACAGGTTCTCTGTCATGTTTGGAAGGGGAGGGGGAGTTGAGGGTTTTCAGCTGCAACATGCAACTTCACCACTAGATGTCACTAAATTCTACACACTGAACCTTTAAAGACATCATCCATTTTGTGTCACACAGACATTGGTCATTAGATAATGCAAGAAAGTTTCCCCCTGAAAACACAGTTGGGTTCCACCATGTAGTTTCCATGGAGCTAAAGCATAAGGAGGCCTAATCTACTTAGTCTGCATAATGACCTACACAGCATGAAACAACCAGCTGTAACCCCCCCTGTGGAATTTTAACAAATATCTCTTGGTTGTGTGTTGTGATTAAAGGTATTGTAATCCAATGATGTATGTATGACACATGCACTGTAGCTTGTGATCCTTAAAAAATAGATATTCAGATGTTCAGACTTTAATACTGATAAAATATCTCCAGGCTTTATATCGAAATCCAGTCATATAAACTTGAGGATGCCACTGAGGCTAAACTATGTTTTATGAATCAGACTGCAAGTGATCCATGTGCTGCGTGTTTTTCCTCGTGCTTGTGTGTGTGCGTTCACGTATGTGTGCGTGTGTGACAGAGCCCGTCGAGGCAGCAGCCATGCTTTGGCAGGTTGTAGTTTTCCCCTCAGAAATCAGCTGCTCTCTGAACTGTTAAATCACACTAGAAGCCAACCTTTGAGAAGAAAATTAATTACTTTCCCTCCGCCTCCTTTCATTTTCCACATTTACCCTCCCTCATTCCTTTTCATTCTCTCTTTCTCCTGCTCTCCATCCAGATCTCTCTCTTTTCTATCATAATAGTATGAAATAATTTTCACCACAGGTGACATTTATTTAGACTAGCGCGTAAAATGTGCCATTACGAGAGAAGCCTCCCTCCCTCCGCCCGCTGCCCTGTTTGAAGTTTGAAGGCTGTGATGCTAGTATAGATCGACTGTGTGTGACGGCACAGTTCATTCAGGTCTCGCTTTGGCTGGAATGTCTAACTGACAAACTCCGCTGCAATCATTAGGTTGTCAAGTTTGTCGGGAGCACACTTCATTTGAAATCAATTAAAAACTGCTCTCCTGTTTCTCTTGTGTTCGTGCTGGATGGAAATAGCAAATCTCTGGGATACACTCCTCCTTGGATGATGCTGGCATTTATCATCAATTTTATCCATCACATTGCACATGTTACAGATATGTACTGAAACAGATGAATTATACACTTCATTAGTGATTTATTTTAAATTAATTGGGGATTTCTTACAATCAGAAACTTCCCAGCAGGCCTTTGTTTTTTGGTCTCAAATGTATTTACTGTTCTCACCTCCCTACTTCCTCTCTTCTTTTTGTCTCAGGTCCAGATAGAAGACGTAGAGAATGAGGACAAGCGATACACTCTCTTTCTGGAGCTGCTGGACGCTGCTCAGAAGTGGGAGGACTTTCAGCTGCTCATGCTTCTCCTCCAAGCATGGCCACCGATGTTGAAAGAGGATGTGTAAGACAAATGACTTATTTTTATTCTTTCAAGGTTAAGTTTGACATTGTGCTTATTTATAGGCTTGCATGGAGTTAGCATATTCTCCAAAACAATTCATACCTCATTCAAAGATTCACACCACAACTACATATTCAAATAAAGGCAGATTTTGGGGGAAATAAAATGCAGACGTCATCACACCTTACCTCAGTTTTCCTTTTTTGTAATCTTTTCTGTCTGTGTGTCGGTGCCCTCTCAGTCAGTTTTTAAAGTTAACTAACGGCATTCAGTAGAGCTCAGTCACATTAAATCCGATCAAACTGCACCAAATTGCACACACTCATAGATATCAGTCCCATAAACGTGCCTGATTCTTTTTCTCCTAGAAATCAATGTAATATTCCCTGGGGAAATTGATGAAAATGTGAACGCTGTATCCACCCCAATATTTAATGGGCTCTTTCTTGGTCTATGTCTCATCTTTACACCAAGTTTCATTGAAATTCGTTGTATAGTTTTTGCTTAATCCTGTTAACATCCAACAAATAAACAAATGGACACGAGTGAAAGCGTTATGTCCTTGGTGAAGGTCATAATGTTCGCCACTTTACTAGTTTGGGTCAAAGCAGCCTCTTATCCTCCCTTAAACTCGTGTAAGTGCTAGCGGGTGAATTCAGGGACATATGAGGATATATCAATTTGTTTCTTCTGTGCAGTGTGTTGTCATTTAAGTGAGAGTGGAAATGGAAAATATTGGCTGAAACCACTCTGGGGCATGTGTTGTACATAGACTTTCAGTTGGAAGTGAATACAGGTGCCCTGACAAAGCTTCAGGCTCCGGGCTTCTTCGCACCAGCGTCGGTTGTATTATCGATAAGTGCCTAATGATGCGATTGCTCTTCTCTTCTCATGCTTCATTGTTCTCAATTAAAAGTGAGGCCCTCTGAGACGATACAGGGGTTACGCTGTCTGGAGTTTGTCCCTCCAGCTCAATCAAAGCAGCCTGAGTATCAGACAGTTTCGATCAGCAGTTTAAAGTGGACTTCTTCTCCAGCAGTTGTTAAAAACTTAAAAGGGTGTGCACAAAGCTGTGTGTAGGTGAATTAGCTTTTGATTAGACAAAGACTTTTTGGTGATGAACAAGATTTACATATGTTCATTACTGATGCTTCAGTTAAAGGTCAACACAACCTGGCTGAAACACTGTGCCAGGATCAGATTATTTAATATGAGATCAGGGAACAACCCTGATGCATCTTCATGACTTCTCTGAAGTATAAAGGTGAACAGGCAGGAAGAGCAGAGAAAAACCTCCCGGATCAGGTATGTCAACAACCCTGGCTTTATTGATCACACCTCAGACTAAATCAAACCAGGGGCAATATTGTCTATTATCCTTTTTGACCAAACAGTTCCAAATTCTGCAAATACAATTTGATTAATAATACCTGTTTGAAAATCACCCTGTTTTTTGTCAGAGAGAGACTCTGATGTTTGAATGGATAGAAAAGATGTTGAGGTTGATGGCTGTTTGTTTTGCTCTGGTCTAGAGCATAACCAAAATGATATACTGCAAATGTTTCCAGCACATTTGGGCATGATTTTCTTAATAATTTCTACTTTAAAACTAGCCAGGAAATAATTGGTATTGATATTTGAGTCACCCTGTGCTATTCATGCCTGCAGGAACTTTAATCAATTGACAACAGTCATAGCAGTACCAGGCGGTACTTGAGCCAACAGAAAGCATAACTGCAGGAAGATTTTTGGGGCCAGAAAACTCTGAATGACTTTAGATGTCAGTTCCTTCAGCTGAAATGCAAATGAGCTTCCTGAGTTCCTGAAAAGGTTCCTGCCCCCTGGAACAGTTCCTGTAGTGGACGCAGTTCGCATTTTTTTCCAGCTCAGTTTGGTCCATTTTCAAGCTGATATAGTTTAACCTGATCCAAAGTAACAGAAAGAAGCTTAGTGTGGAGGTGAGAACTAAATTTCTGACAGCGAGACAACTGAAGTAGAAATAGGAGAAATGCTTTTTATAGTTGTTGTACTGTAAACAAACAAAGAGTGAATAGTATCAATGGAAAATAGGGAAAGGTTATTGTTTATCAGAGTATGTTTAATACAAACAAACTAGAGTTGTCATTGAGTTGGTGAGAAGGTATTGTCTCTCCTGGTACAGTCAACTTCACCTGAGAAGCATCAGGAGAGAAAGGATTAGGTTTGGACAACACATCTGCTTTAAGTTCACCCCCCGATTTTACAGACTCTGACTTTTCGAGAAGAGCAGCTGTAGCCAAAGCACTGGCGCCGGGCGACAGTCGGCTACAATCAATTCTTTTCACCGCAGACTGAGCCGGTGGATTGTCTCAGATTTAAATGCAAACATAACGCTGAGTACAAACTCAGCCTCTGATTATGGATTTGTTTTTTCTCTCTGGTCTATTTAGTTGTCCTCATTTAAATCTCTCAGGGTAATTTGCTGCCACATGCACACACACATGAACCACACTGAAAAGTGCCTTGTCTCTTTGAATCATAGAAGCCTTTAGTCCGGTCTGCGTTAACCGTGCATTTTATATACAACTGCAGTGCTGTATCCTGCTCTCGTAATTTGGGACACAAAACTCAGAATAACTTAACCTTCAAGCGATGGAGACTTGAGGACGTTATCTCTTACACCGTTAACCTTTACCACTTGTCTGACTCAGCACTTGTGTGTGTGTGTGTGTGTGTGTAGAAAGAGGATTTGTTCCAGCAAGACTACAAGAGGCTGTTTTGGGAGCTATACTGAGCGTTGCATCTCAAAAGCTTATCCTTTAGTCTGCATAAATTGAGTCATGATTCAAAGCACGCATGGGGGCTGGCTATGACTCACGCTGCACCCTGTGACAGATTTTGGCGAGTGCCGCAGACACCAAGCTGCACTCAGCTGTACCCCTCCACCCCCGATAAAAGCCCAGGAGGCGGCTGTGTGCCAGCGAGTGCAAGTGGACTCTGTTTGCTCCCGTGGCCGCATCATCTGAAGGTGAAGCGGCCTGTCAGGATGAGACATGGCTGCATGGAGAGCTGGCTTTTCTACTGACAGACACTCAGAGGACCCCTGCTGTCTCTCTCTCTCTCTCTCTCTCTCTCTCTCTCTCATTTACCGGCTCTTACCACAGGGCATCTTCCTCCAATCACGCCTATTTAGGACATCAGACATCCACCATTTTAGAATTTCTCCTCATATAACCAAGGATTTACCACCTTTTTCATCATCTACCTTTTATCGTGTAAAAAACAAAGCACACGTTAAGTTCAAACCAGATCCTCCTCTCATCGCCAACCTCCTCCATCTGTTCAATATTTAATTCCCTGCTAGTCATCTTGATCACAAACAGTACATAACATGTGCTAGCATACTGACGCACATTTTCTGGCCACTGGAAGCATGTCCCCTCCCTTCACAGTGTCTCTGTGCTGCTTGTCTCTGATAGATGAGTGACGGCACTGTTCTAAATCTTAAATCTTACGTTCTATGAATATTAAGGGTCTCACTGAAGCTCACAAATGATGGTTTCCCACAGATCTACTAAGACCTTGGCTTTGGATTAACAAGTGCAACCTCCATAACCGCTAACAGGAGTGTTAGACAGCACATATAGGGGCTGACTGTTCGCCATGCTAATTATAATGCTAATAAAACAACCAAGATCTAATTACCAGATAATGAATAATTTTCATCAATCATTTTTCAACCCATGCCTGATGTGTACACATGAAGTGTGCGGGTCGTGCTTCCTTTGTATCCCTGGCGTTCTTGCAGTCCTTGGTGCGAGTTAATCTGTGACTCAGGAGGCTTCGGAAGAGCTCATGAAGGAGTGTGTAAACAAAGTGACACTCCTCACCGCTGGCAGCTGCTCCCCCGTGTTCTCGCCGACACGGAGAAAATGCAGCGTGTAGTCGTTTAATATTAACTGCAGGAGTTTTGTGGTCAAACATCTTTCCTCCTGGCTTACATGTCAACGTCAGAATTCATTAGATCGCCTGGAAACCTCTTGATAATTCTGTCTGCTTTCATGTCAGCCAGTGATGTGAAGGGTTGATGTTATTCTTATGTGGCTGTTGTATTTGTATTATTCATAGTGTACATTTTCATGCAATATGGGGCACATGCAGAAGTGAGCTGCTGTAACCTGTTCATTGACGAACAGGATTAACATCAGGTGACAGAGGACTGTGGAGAAATGAATAACCTTATTGGATTTTTACTTGTATGTGAAATTGATTTTACTATATTCCTATATTATTGTATTCCTGAAAGACGTCTGTCTGTCACATGCTTACCTTTATACCCATCTATGTTTTCCCTTTTTTCACCTCAGAAGACACTTTCATACTCAAAGCTTGTTTTTCTCTCTGTCCCCAGATCAGAGTCGGAGCGTAACCCCTGGGTTGTGCTGACCTCGGCCCTGCTGACCCGGTGCCAGGGGTCAGGGGTCAATTTAGACCTGGGTCAGCAGATAGTCACCATGGTGCGGACTCTCTACAACACCAAGCACAAGCTCCCTGTTCAGGTAATCAGAACACACACACTAGAACATATACACACGTAAGAGTTTCTGTGCAGAGACTCTTTTTGTGTAACAGTGATCTGAAAAGTGCTGTAGATCCATTTATTGTGAAAGTCCACTTTACTTTCAGGGATTTTCCCTTTGCATAGTCTAAAACAATCGGCCTCATAGAAGAACTGCTCTCCTCCAACAGATTTGTTATGTGTGATTCAGACCTCTGTCACGTAAGCTAGTCTTCTGTTATCAAGTTTTAAATTGATAAGATTGTATATTGAAGTACTTTTTGAGCAATTATAAGTAAATATATAAATAACACTTCAAAATTACATCACAATTATTCTTTTGAATTATGAAACAATTCTAAAATGTGTCAATGTTACTGTAAAATGTCTCATACACAACTCTTTTGGGCTGCAAAATAGCACAGTTGACATGCATCCTGCAAACAGCGCTTACAGAGATGGCCGACTGGACTGTCACCATGAAGCTCATTTCCATAAAATTAATTCATGGCTGATGTTATATTTAAACTCTGCCTCATGTGGCCTTTTGTCAACCTACAGACAATAGGAGTGTGGGTCATATGTGCACTCGTACCCTGAGTGCTGTGCTGGTGTGTTAAGATCAGGTGGATGTGTCTTGACTCTTGTGGCTGCTCGACCCGCCAGAGACAGCATGTGAAATTATTATAGCATGCTGGGTAATGTGTTATATTGCCATGGATGAAGGTGTTCCATTGCCAGTGTAACATCACCTATTATAGCACGTAGTTTTTCATCCCACATTACCTTGACCTCTTAAGGTCGCAGTGCGATCTCTGAAATCAGGACTTCAATCTCTGAGCTCGCTGTCATGTTTATGACTCATCATTTACATTTTTCTGAAGTTAGAAGTGATTGTTGAATCTGACGTGTCATGTTCGTACAAACTCACTGTACAAACAAATATAAGAGAAATTTAGGATAACAATAACATGTTCCTTCAGGAGGCACATTAAACAGCGTGTCATCAAAATAGGTGGGTCTGCCTGTTTGCATTCAGTGTAACCTCGGTGCCGCGCCACCGTTTTACCAGTTAATACATGAGCCTAAAGCTATTAACCATGCAACCCACAGCAACGTGTTAGCATCAGCTCAGTGCTTTCTGCGATGTACCATAGGCACTAGCCGCTCTTTGATATCTGACAGCCTCTAATGCTATTCATGCCCTGCTGAGCACCATGGCAGTGGTAAGCCTAATGCCATTCTGTATGTATAGCTCCAGCTGACTGTGATATTAGTTTAGCGTAAATGCTATTCAGTGTGAATAGGCTAGCATCTGCCTTGCTGTCTAATATTAGTGTGGGACGGGGGTGGGAGGTGGAGAAGGAGCCCTTTTACGCTCTTCTGAAGAGCTTTAATTTGAATCTGCTGGAATGAAACTGCCAGAGCATGGGGAAGTCAGATTGCATTGTGATATCCATATATTACAGGATGGGACTGCAACAGGACTCTGTGTGCATGTTTGTGTGTAAATCCTTTTAAATGTGTTATGTGGCTGAGTGTCTGTACAGTATATACACATCGATTAACCTCCACTATTCCTCGCTTCCTTTCTTCTCGGTCTCCCGCTCTCCCCTTTTGTTCTTTCCTCCTTTTTGTTGCTCCGTCTTCTGATTACATTTCCCTATTTTCATCACACTTTTGCTTTTATCTCATTCCTACTGCTTTTCGCCCATTCATCTGTACGTCTATCCATCCCTCCCCTCTCTCTCTCTCTCTCTCTCTCTCTCTCTCTCTCTCTCTCTCTCTCTCTCTCTCTCTCTCTCTCTTGTCCCTGTGTGTCTCCTCCTCCTCTCCAGTGTATCAGACACATAGCCACCCTACTGCTCCAGAACCAGCCGAGCCTGCAGCAGCCCGCTCTCAAGCTGATGGCTGAAAGCGGCGATGAGGAACTGCTGAAGCTGACTCTGGATCAGATCAACAGCATGACACCGGTAAGTGTTGTTGTAACAGTCTAGTGTGGTACATATTCAAATGGACACCAAGTCGACTCCATTTTGGATTGAAACTCAACATTTTGTTTGGATTGTTACTATCAATTAATATATTAATAATTTCCATATTTGATAAAAATGTATTCCTAAAACAAAAATGCACATCACAACTTCCCAGAGCCCAACATGACTGATGAGCACGTACCTGTCAAGGCTAATCCCCTATCTCGCCATGTCAAAGCATTGTTTACCATTAATTGCAACATGCAACTTCAACACTCGATATCACTAAATTCTACACACTGTTACTTTAACTGTTAAAAAAAAAGGAAGTTCTCTAAATGATTCCTAATATTGAAAAACCCAACCTTCATATTTTTGCTAACTGTCCTCTAGTTTTGGGAAGCCACAGCCAGATAAGAGAGTAATCGTTTGAGACTGTGTGGGCCCACTCTCCACTGTTTCCAGATCAGATAAGCAACCATCACAAAGTAGGCCTCTCAGACCCAGCAGACCCTCTCTTTGTTCCTGGATCAGATAAGAGAGAGCCTCACTATTAAGTGACAGAAACCCTATTAAATGAAACGTTAGGGCTCCTACGTGTATTGGTCCACCTGAGCAACAGATATGTAATTTGGACGTGGGAAGAGAAAATCAAATGGAGGAGTGAAAGGCGTAGGATGAGAAGCAGGGGTTACAAATGTATGAGAATGTGACCTAGGCTGAGGTGGAGAGAACAGAGCAGAGTGTCAGACTGAAGACACAGGAGTTATATCAGGGAGTGATAGAGCAGGGTTATATGAATACTGTGAGACGGGTAGTGTGTCACGCTGCTTTGAGAAATAATCTTACCTCCATCACCTCAGATCTGAATGAGCAGGGCGTGTTCGGAGCAACACAGAACACTGTTCCTCCGCAGATAACATCAAGAGAGACAGAGAGAAATCGTCTTACATCTAATACATCTGATAATGTGTTGCAAGCGCGGTGGAGCTGCATGCATCTAGTGTGCATTTGTCTATGTGTGTGTTTCTTCAATTGTGAGAGTTTCTCTCTGGCTGAGTGGGGGTGCATTCCAAGGTGTGTTTACATCTACTTCATTTTAGAGTAATGTGTTTTTGGGTATAGTGTTTCTGTTCCCTGAGACTATTTTAAAGGAGCTGTTCACCCAATTTGACAACGTTTGGTACGTCGGGCCAACAGTTTCTGTCCGATTACTCAATTCAGGGCATCTATAGCCAGTGCTCTTTTCTTTGGCACCAAGTTGTTCCAATAAAAATTGTGAGGTGTAACCAGGACACCATCCATATATCCATCAATTGTCTGCTGCAGTTCAGTGAAGTTGATCAGGAATTCACTGTGTGTGCAGAAAGCTCATCTGTGACCTGAATGTTGTTATTCAATCCCTTAAGCATTTCATTTGTGAGCTTGATACTTTTAGGAGTATAAAGCATTAAGAACTTCAGGGGTGCAGTGAAAATTTACGAATAAAAAAAAAATTCCATGAAACACCGCTCTTAATTTATTTACCTGCCTCCTCACGTCTACATTGACAAGCCTGAGGTTGATTTTGCCCACAGCGCACCTTAAATTTATAAACTCTTGCAGTCTTGATTAAGTATGTGAAAATAAAATGTCAGTCTGAGTGAATGACAGGCCTTATCTTCAAACACCCTGAGTGAGTGTGTGTGCGACTGTATTCTCCCTGGCACTTTGCAGTGTATCTGAAGTCACAGACTACTGTGCACATTGTTTCCCTCAGTCCCAACGCATTTTTTTTTTTCATGGAGGAGATGCCCATGAGATTACAGCTGAAAAAAAAACAGATTAATTCTGAAGATTAGTTTTTAATTAAAATGGTGTTACAGGATTGCAGGGTGGTATAAGAAGTAAATGAAAGAAAGGTAATTATTTATTTGGCTGTGTATATTTTGCTTCACATTTTACTGCCTCTTGCTTCGTTGCCATATGAGGTTAGTAGGTATGATCAGATCTGTTGGTGTGGACCACTCTGGGTGTTGGGGAGCGAGGAAAGACAGAAAGATATATAAGACTGGTGGAGGTGATTTGAAAGGTAGTGCATGTAGAGAGCAGATAATGGAGAAATAGTTTGTATTGTTCTTAATGATAAAGGAAAATACAGTGCAGGCATGCATAGGCTTTTGTTTCCTTTCACTGGAAGCAGAAAGCACTCATGTCTTTCCACAAAGTCCCTCCCTCCATCATTTCTTCCTGTCCTCCCTTTTTTGCTTTGCCCCTCATTGGTAAAGATGAATGGGGCTGTGGAGGAGCAGAGGGGAGGCAGGGAGAAAGGGAGTCAGGGGTTAACACCTGCCTGAGTAATGGGAGACAGAGGTATAGGCCTGATAAAAGCAGTCCTGCCAATATAAATGAGCTGTCAGTGCATTTTACAGCATATATACTATAGATCCTGCTGCGTGTGTGCATGTGTGTACAGTCTATGGTGCAAACACATGTGCTGTAAATGTGACAAATGCAATGTTGTCCCAGTATTTGTCTAAGGACATGCTACAAGCAGGGGAAAGCATGGTTGTCATGAGTAGCTAGCTAACTAATCTAACATTAAAAAAATATATTTTTCTGATTGACCATCTCACTCATTTTAAAAAAGTTTAAAATATGAATTTAATGGCTACATACATAATAAAAGACTCAAGCTTCATGTCTCAGGCAGAAAGATCATGTAGAGGAACCTGTGCTGGTTCTCATAGTGGATACTTTGGTCACTTCCCTAACACAGTCCACTGTGTACTCACAGTGCACCAAGTCCGACAGTGTTGTCTAAAATCAAACACCTCCAGTTTGCACTTGCTGTAAATCACAATTGTAACATGTCATCACTACTGTCACCAACTTAACTTTCTTGTGTATTCCCCTTGTTGTCAAGCAACATGGAAGTTTTGCCGCCATCTCTGCAAGAGTGCAAGGCTGCAATTTTCTATCTGAGTTTGTCCGAGCCTGAGAAAACAAACTGAAGCTGACCCAAACCTGATGTTTTGCTAGATTTCAGGCACATGCAGTGTAAAAAATCAAGTAAATACCCAACATGAGTCCAACCAACCTGAACCAGCATATAGTTTTAAAAAGTGTATTCAATCCTTGCTCTGGTCAGGTATTCACAGTCAAACCTGCACCAATGATTGTATTCTTCTTCTCCTCTCCGTCATTTTGACAAATTTGAAAATCCATTGGTGTTGACCCCTAACACTATAAACCATTAGACCACTTTTAATGAACCGCATGTTATCATAGTTGGAGTGAATGCTCTCAAAATAGCAAGTGTAAGGATAGAAGTATGTGAATTGAGGCAAAGCAATGAAAATAAAGTGTTGTTTTTGTATTGGAGAAGAGCCAGGTAGTTGATGTATTACAGTTCAAATATAAATGTAAAATCTATTTATTTCGCTCTGACCCGTACCTGTTTCGGTGCTTAGCTCTATATTAACAAACTGTAGTTTCACATCGCAACAGAAAAGGCTTTTAGAATGAAGACTAATTAGTTGGAAAAAATAATGATTTTGCCCTGTACAGACACGGACAGAGCTGCTAAGTCTTACTAGCATCAAGGAGCAGCTTCTAAAATGTGAGTAAATACGTGCCTGTCATAACGTCAATCATTTGGCAACTCCACACCTCTGTAGTAACACCAGTGGACTATATGAAGCAAGATATTTATCTGCACGTTTGAAATTGCATCTTAAATTGCAGAGACAGACACTATGTTCTCCAGATCCTGACAGTTTTTGCTTCTTTGCTTTTTAGTTTTGGAAAAACTACAAAAAAAGACACCATCATCCTCAGTGTGACATGTCGAAAGAGCCAGACCTTATCAGAGTTGCCATGTCTAGTTACAATAGCTATTTATGTTGTTTATGGATCTGTTGGTTTCATTATTCAGGAGCTTTTTTTTCTTCGTCCTTGTCAGGTTCTGTTTTTATCACTTGCTTTTAAAATGCTTGTGTCCTTGTGTGCGAGTGTTTAATCGGGTTAAAAACCACTTCAAGGCCTCTCAGACAAACTCAAACACCTTGTCTAACTGCCTGCTGAAGTGAAGACAACAGGCCTGTGTGTGCGTGTGTTTGATTGAGTGATTATGTGTCTAATTGCTTGTTTAAGTGGGCTTGTTTACAGCTTTGGTGCCATATTGGACCTGTTAATCTCACTGTGTTTGCTTGCAACTCACGTTGATCTTTGATTTGCTCACTGCGCTTGTTGTGTGTGTGTGTGTGTGTGTGT